AGTCAATAGCTAATATTGCCCGTTTAGATCGAGCCCGGACGAGCGCAGAGAATACTCCTCGTTCAAAATGAAACTGCCTGCCACCCTCCCGTCATCTAATTCGCCGTCTCTATCGCACGTTTCTCCCTCTGTCCATCTACCTGTATCCCTGTCGAATGTTATTCGAGCATCGCCTCTCCCTGTCTCTTTCTCTCTCACGCTCTCTCCTTCGTTCCCTCTCTCTCTCTCTCTCTCTCTCTCTCTCTCTCTCTCTCTCTCTCTCTCTCTCTTTCTCTCTCTCTCTCTCTCTCTCCCTCTCTCTCTCTCTCTTCCCAGCAGGCCCGCGCCGGTTTTACTCTCTCCGGCACCCTCTCGCGGCGCCGGTAATTATTTATAAACACCGTTGCCATTGACGCGACCGAACTAATATTGTTTTATACGTAATGGAGTTCGGAGACGAGAGACCGAAGGACACCGTTTGATTAAACGGTCACGCAGTCGCTGTGTCTGAACTCGACCATTCATCCGACCAATCGCCAAACATATCGGTATCGATCACTGTGTTTCGAGCGCGATTATTTTGGAACCAGCAACGTCGACTCTCGCTCCCCCCCCCCCCTCTCTCTCTCTCTCTCTACTCGCAGTATCATTTCCCCTCCCGACACTTTGTCAATCTTTGAACGAACAACCGGGTACCCATTTTCGATGCTTCATTTAACAGGTTTTTATGTTATGTAAACGATCAGTTTTTACGTGGATGCTTTTCGAGTAAAAATTGAATATTACAGCTTCGGGCTCTGTTTACGCATTTCGATCGCCTGTCTCGGGCTTAGAGAAAATTGATATCGAATATAATATTGGTATCGAATAGGTATCGAAATATGTTGGTGCGGCATGCTGCAACCGATACAAACTGAAAATTTAACATTGACATTTTCAAATTAGCCAATAAACGCCTGTGTTTGCATGCCGTTACGGTAATTCGTAATTTAAGAAGCATTCGCGTCGACGCGATCGTAACGATCGAAACGGTTATTTACACGAAATTTACGTTGAACGGTATTTTCATTATCGAATGTTTAACCGTATATGTCAGCACGAATCAAAATCAACAATTACACATTTATTGGAGAACTACCATTGAAATGACAGAACGTGTTGTATTTGCTGGAGAAGATATAATTGTTCGCATATTTGCGAAACAATGGCGCATGTATATTCGAAGCGAATTTTCGACTCATTGCAAAAACAGCACAACAGCGATAACATTGGTTGTTGGCAGACGATCCTTTCATCCTTGGTTTATCGATGACTATTGACCGTCTCTATTGTCTTCCAGGAAACTTTCCAGTGGTCTTCCGACTATCCCTATTGTCCTACTTGAGGGGCACTGCAGGATTATGCAGGTTCTAAACTTGTAGGAGGATAGTTCAAAATTCGATCTGCTGTAGAACGAAAATTTGGGAATACTGTGTTAACCTCTTCAGAGACTAATTGCTTAGAAACGAATCAGACGATTTTAATTACCTCGCTGCTATATTTCGCGTGCTTTGAAAATGTAAGCACCAAGATTAATTGCGAATGCATTTAAATAATACAATTTAAAAACAACGCCCAAGCGGCTTGCGAGACCAATAATTAAACGTACAGGTGCCTTGACGACGTTAACCCGTTGCCATACTTCGACGAGTCTGACACATGACGGAGAATTAATGCTATTCCGTTCCATTTAGTCCGAACAAAATTCTGACTTCTTGCCGTCGGTATTTAAACGTTTCTGTAAACGTGGACACACGATAAATATAAATTGTTTTTCTTCATCATAGAAATGATCACAATCGAAATACTACTAACCATTGCAACTATGAAGAAAGTAGTACGGCAAGGGGTTAACCCTTTGCACTCGAATGGCGACTCTGAGGCGCCACTGAAAATTGCTATACTATCTTTCTAAATAATCGTAACAGTATCAAATTCGTTTATATTTTTAAAAAAAACTGTTAAAATTGCAATTATCATACTTGCCAACAAGCTCAATTTCATACGAGTAAATCGTACTAAATCATATGAAACGGAAATACCGTAGATCAGAAAACACGTTTTAGATTTCGAATTAAAATAGCTTCGAGACTGCAAATGGTTGAATACAGCGAGAGACGCGTTCGTAACAATCTGCGAAGATGATGTTCTAAATGAAAGTTTCGCAGCGGCCATTCGGAACCGTGCGACAACGTTGATTAAAACCTATGTAAAACGAGTTCCAACGCTAATCCAACGTGATAATGAATTCACGAGAAAAATGCGACTTCATTTGCTAAAAATCTCGCGAATAACCGCCGCGTTTCCCGACGAGGAGTAATGAACGCGCTGAACTTTTTTCGGCGCCCAGTAATTTCAAAGCGTCTGACTGATGTTCTTTGAAAATTCACCAAGATGTCGTGAAGAGGATACTAGTTTTTTGCCTCCACCTACCCCCCCCCCTCCTCATCTCTCATGCACTTATTTCCCGTCGCGTCTGAGGAAAAGGATACCGGAGGACAAGCGATTCGTCTCTGCTTCGCCTTGGCTCTCTTTCCATTAGAGACCACACGTACTCGCACACGTAGCGGAGAGAGGCCAGGTCGTTTCTCTCTTTGCCGAGAACGTTCCTCTATGCGAGAGACGCGAGCACCGCGAATACGGGACGAGATAGACGACACAGGAGGCCGCACCTCGCTGAAATTAGAGTAAGATTCTCCCCGAGGGACGCGGCGTTCGCCGCGGCGCGAACCCGTCGCCATCGACATCTTTCCACGGCCGGATTTCCCTTAAGTGTTTTTGTTCGTTTGCGGGTTCCCAGACACGCAGCTCCCGGTTCGGTCTATTAATCTCTAACGTCGAATAATTACATGCTCGGATATTAACCGTCGTCGCCCTGCCCGGCATTGTTCGCGGCGCGTGTATCTCTCCGCAAAAATCGCGGTTCGAGACACGGAGGCGTAGCCCGCCGCGGCGAGGGGACACCGAACACACCCGGCAGACCGACAATAGCGGAAATAGCTCTACTGCTTCGAAATCCCTTAAGCACTCGACATTAATTCTCGCTACTCGTGGAGTCCCTCCTCGGGAGAAAAAACAACGACCGATCAGGGTGGGAGGGGCGAGGGGGCCCGACGAGCGTGCAGATAGCGGACGCGCGAGGGCGAACGAACGAATCGTACACCACTCGCAGATTCTGCTCGATCGGCTACGCTTACGAAGATCGTGTGTTAACGCATTTTTTGCGGGTCACAGGTCGAGCTTTATCTCGCCTGCCGGGAGAAAACCAGCGAAGTTTGATCAAATTCATTTCCTGGAAAATATTTGACGTCTTCGAAACCTACGATAAGATTTTGACAAGAAGTATGTAACGAGGAATTTTAGGACTTCAAAGGGGACTCTTTCGAATATGTAACGAAATTTATAAAATTAAATTTTTTAGGAAGGTACTAACCCTTTGCACTCGCGAGTGGCGACTCTGTGGCGCCACTGAATTTGTAATATCACGTTCCAAGATATAACTTTCGTGTTATCAAAGTTTAGATCTAAGAAATTTAAATTGAAAGCGCAATTGTTATGTGAGTCATAAAACTCAATTTCATATGCATAAAGTGCACTTTGTTTTACAAAATAATAATTCTGACTATAAGTCAGAAAAATGAGTGCAAAGGGTTAATATGTACTATACCGTATGTACTTATAATGTATTGACACTAAATTTATCGAGAAGTAACAACAAGCGTTGCTTCGTAAAAGTCGGAAGATCGATTTAGATTTTGAAAGGATTTCGTTATAAACTGTTCTCGAGCATTCCCCGTGAAGCAGTCTCTAAAGTTAGTAGAATTGTGAAATAAGAAACCCGTCATTTTGACTGTGGAATGTTTAGTGTTAAACGTCTGTCAGAGTTCGTTCGCCTGACTCGCTCCTTGTCTCGTATTTAGATGAACGGACCCGATAGTGTCCTTCGTCAACGAACTCTGATCGGCCATTATCTCCCTGGATAGACTACATTGTTGCTCGGAAGTATTTGAATAGCTGTGATTTTTATACACGGCATAAATTGACAGTTAACTTGTAAACGTTTTACGCTACTCGCGAACGTGACTCTTTCCGGCTGATGCTTCTTCAGTGGATAACAGTGTTTTAAAAGCTCCGACCAAATTTATGTAACATCGTGAAATATAACTACTCTTGTGCCCGCAGGTTCTCTTAGTAACTTTGTTTGAGCTGGGCAAAAAAAGATTTGCCGCTTTTTCAGGTAAAATCGTATTGCAAAAATCGTATTGTAATCGGGTGCAAAATATTAATGTTTATTTATTAAATTCTCTTATAACAGAGCCTTCCGTTTATTTACGTAAAGTCTTGAATGCTTCGAAGTGCTCTACAATTGCTAATATTTAAAAACGTGCGGACAGTTTCCAAGATTTCCTAGTTTAACGACCGTATCGACCGATGTATTAATAATTTTTATTAACACATATAGAAAATGATTTATAATGTAACTTATAATGCTTTATCATTACTCGTGAAATATTCGATTCAGCAATCATTGCAGTGTAGTCACTAATAAAGTGTTATGCAAAAAGTAACTTTCGTTAATAATTTCACAACGATTTTTAGGTAACCGCGATTAAAAGTGCCCTTTCGAGCAGCAAATGCATATGCATACAAGAGTTCGTAGCTCCGCCAATAGAATTGATCGCTGCTGAAAATTACCAGCCTGAAACTTTTTTGCATTCCAATCGTTAATACGTTCGGAAGGGCCGTATTTAAAATAACATCCTAGAAGATCTGTGAAAACGATGAAAACGAAGGAAACTTCCGAGAAGGTATTCCCATCGCCGCAGTTGAAAAGCACGCGGCAACTCTGCGACGGGTGAAATCCCAAAAGGGTAAAAAGAAGATGGCGCCAACGCGAGGCCGAGGACGCGGCGCCGACAACCCCTATTTTCCTCGATCTTAAGTACCCAGGTGCAGAATAAAGATCGTTCGAAGTAGAATACCTGTCAGACGCAGGCGAACAATCTATTGGTCCTGGAGGAACGCCGCTCTAGGCTGCGCCATGGTCCCCCGTAGCCGAACGCACCTGTTCCTCGGTCACTCGATCGTCGCACTTCAATCACAATCTTTCGAGGATTCCTGTTGCGCCTGATACCGCGTCATCTCGTCGTCGCGAACCGGCCCGGCGAAACCTCGAAAACGTCGAGGGTTAATATTTACTCGTTGATCTCTCCCTTTCCGGGGGCCCGGCGGCCCTCCGCCGCGGCTCGGTCCCACGATATAACCGGTTCCGCCAGCGTATCCTGCGATTCGCGATCGTCAATTCTGCGAAACCCTTTCCGGCCGGCGACTTTCTAACCGACGACAGTCCTATTCGACGGTGTTTTCGCCACCCAACACTCGCGATTATTCACTCGGCAGGATCCCGTGTGCCCGAAATAACGCGTGAACCCGGCTCGCCCGTGGCGTAAACGACACGCACGTGGCCAGCGACGATACTGTCGGCGACGAAACCGACGAACCGACCGACGACCGTCCTTCGGAAGAATGCGCCGCGCCGTCTTCCGTTTACCTTTCGAGGAGGCAAACGGAATCAATCGACGCGGGTGCAAACACGACCTGGGCCACCGACCGGCTCCCAACGGTCAGGGTGCGTGTATCGTGCGCGACTTCCGGCCCACACGGACGTCCTCCAGGCCCGAGACCGTTCGATCACCGACTCGTCGTCGCCCGCAAACTTTGTCTATTATTCATCGAGACCATCTAAACTGTACTCCGCAAGATGTCCGACGCGATTCCCGGAAGTTGCCCACGGGTCCACGAACCAAGCCGATTGTTTTGTTCGCGATCTCTGCCGCGAAGTCACGAAGTCACTGATTTCAACACTGAGCCGCTGATCACTTTCGGCGACGATAGGGGAGGGGTGTCTGTTTTTTAGTTGACCTTGTAGGACAGTCTCCGGGCCATTTTAAACAGCGAGACCGGCGAGTCGGGAACGATTTCGCGGCGGTAAATCCCAGAACGGCATATCGGTCGTGATCACGGTCGCGAGGCACGTTGCACAGTGCCGCGTTAATCGAGATTTCGCGGGCTCCTCTTGCGGCGTTCAAGAGCGCGAATGCACACGGGATGCGCGCGTCCCGGCGGCTGCGCGTGCACTGCCCGCGCGGTTCCCGTTCCGATGGCCCCCCACCCTCTCCTAGGGTTCCGCAGAAACGAACGTGCACGGGACCCCATGTCCCTTTCTCGGTCTCTCTTCTCCTGTTTGCTTTCTCCCTTCCCCCGTAGGGCCTCGTCCTTTATCTCTCTTTTCGGCCGACTCAAAATTGCCTCAGCTCCCGCCGAGACCATGTTTTCGAAATAAGGAGCCGCGGCCACCTTGCGATTCTAAAAAAATCGACACCTATTCGGAAGGTCCCCGAACAGGTCGCTTTGGCAGCGGATCTTGCGTATAACTGGGATTTCACGCGTTCGTGGCAAAAATGAGGAATTGAACGTGTAATTGCGAAGGCATGGGAAGCATTTGATAATGTTGTTACGCTCGGCGAAATTATTGCAACTGTTTCATGTTATTTGGCGAAATCAACAGCGATATGTTCATTTACATTTTTTAGCGATTTATCAGAATGTTTACAATCTCTACACTCATAAATCTTGTACTCATCATTTTGACGAATCCTGTAAACCTAATGTTAACTTTTGTTCCTTGCAATTGTGCTGCAAAATAAAAATGTTGCCCTAAGATCCGCGATCTACTCGTAACTATGCAATTAATATAGCTTAGAACCATTCTCAGTTCTGTTCGTCAATTTTTTGAAACATTTCTGAAATACTTCTTGCGAGTCAATGTTTCTGCAATAACTCCTGACGCAGTAATTGTTTATTTAATTGTCGTAAATCGGAATTGTGTATTTTGACGTCAATGAATAAACATCAAGAAGAGAAGCGCGGCAAACTTTGCTTCCTTGCGTCAGCTCGTTGATTAATGAAACGTTGGCGAAAACGTGGAACGAAAATGCTTGCAGTCACATTTTCCGAAAAGCAAATCGAAGTGCGTTTTGTTGGAATTCGGCCGGACACGGATGTACTGCAATTTTGGAATTAAATTCTGCTCAGAATATATGCGGCAACGCTTTTTTAAAAGGTTCTCGCAAATCTCCGCGCGTAAACCAACCGGTGACTTATTCCTATGCATGATCGTACCGATTGTGTTTTAATTGTATATACCTGCATCCCGTTGTTAATGTGATTTGAACGTATACTTACATCGTATCTAATTGGCATGCAACCGATAATAACCAAAATAATAAAGGAGTACAGACTACAAGGTGCGCGAGACCGTCGGTCATTATTTCCAACCTTAATTTAGATGATAATTCGTTTATTCCCGAATTGAATTAGCACCAATTCCATTCGACGCGAACGCCATAACGAGAATTGGTGCGTGCCTGGTCATTGTCCTTGAAGACGCTGATATTCCTATAAACAGGAGAGAGATTTCGTTCTTTTGCCTCGTTTATTATTAGCTTGATTACAGCGGCGCCCCGGTGGAATTGCACTGCTGTTCGGTGTTCCCCGCCGTGGCTCGTGTTCGCCGAACACCATCTTGATTGTAATTTTTCCGCTTATTAAATGGCTACACACGGGACTTTGTGCGGAGATCGTGCGCGCTGCCGGGTAAAAGTGTTTGTCTTTTAATCGTGGAAACGATTACCACGAGCATCGGCCGATCGAACGTTTCATAAAAGAACGAACGATAAACGAAACGATTTGCTTGATTAAATAAATCGAAGGTGAACAGACTTGCACGAAATAAAGGTATGGTTGCGTTCGCAATTTCCTAATTGCCGTAAATACATTAACAGAACAACTTCTACAGAATCGTGCGAAGGTACGAATGACTGCCATCTTGGTCGGTGCGAAGCTGTCAAAATTCCAGCTCACCACTGGTTAACATTTGCTCAACAATTCACATTTTTTTTGTGACGATAGAATGGCTGATTTGCTGGACAAACATTTTTTCGCAAAAACTGCAATCGGTTGGAATGACGAAATGAATTCACAATTAAATATCAACAGTCCTTGAACTTTTTAATCCGAACGCGTGACGAAAATTTGAACGATGCATTTTTAAGGTCTCGATGATGTATACATGCTGAAAATTTTGTCGATATTATTTTACATATTTCAAACTAGTCCTTTCAACATCTCAAAAAGATTCAGCTCGTTTGATGCAATTTTAAAAAGGTTATCCATTAAAAAAAGAAAAAATAAAACATCTTTCAAAAGATGTCCACGCATACAATTTGTACACGACTGCGCATTGCATGGTATAATTATAGTTATACACTCGAATACAGAACTCGATGGAAATCCAAGAACGCAAATATGGACAGAAGGTTTCCATTTTTCGAGAACACAGTGCCCTTAAATCTGCCCGAATTTTACGGTTCATCAGCATATTTCCGCATTAATATTAATTACCTTATTTCGGGTCCCTGGCAGCCAACCCTCGAAGTCCCTCTCTTAATGTCGTCGACTCTCTGTCTCCTGTGTCGTCCCGACCCAGACAACTCGACACGCGTTCTTACACGCACATTCCTGCATAAAAGGGAATACGTGTGGGATAAGAGGAGGATTCAGCGTTACCGAGTGTATAATGCGTCTTCAAGCTTAACGTCTTCCCGTTGCAACCGTCTATGAATTGAGGATTCATTTTTATATAAACCATCATCAACCGTGGAGCGCAGTCGAAGTCAACTGAAACCGATTCTTTTCGGATATCAGCGCCTATTAGACTACTAATCGGTCCCGACACTGACTACAATCATTTTTCCCTAATTCGCGCTCGGATTGTGCACAAAAATTAACATTTTGGGAAGAGGTGTGATACGATTATTCGTGCCTTGCGGCTCATTTTTATAGTTACCGATTTGTACAGTTACCGAAAAACGAGCCGCAAGGCTCGAATAATCGTGTCTTCTCTTCCCAAATTGTCCATTTTTGTGCGCAATCTGAGCGCGAATTAGGGAGAAATTACTCATCGTAGACCGGGTTATGTCTCCAGGCGATCGACGTTTAACCCTTTTATATATTATTTTTTATTTATTTTATATATTATTCCATAAAGCTTTGTTTCACGCTTTAATTTGATCGATTGCGTTCCGTTCATAATCTTAAACTGAACTAACCATAAACAATTACGTCGAATTATAAAAAAAGATTGTAGAGAAATAATCGATTTTGTAGTCTCCGAAACAGAATAGAAAATAATTTCAAGAATAAAGTCGATCGATATTTTCGATTGAATTTTTCCCTATAAATTTGATTTCCCATCGAGCTTGATAGAGGTTTATCCCGATGTAAAATGTAAACAGTCGTAAATAAATCCGAGGCAATTAAGGTTGTGGGACTCTTCCCGTTCGATTTGATATAAATATGTTTGTAGCTATATTTCACTTTCGAATTTCTTTGCGACCAACCGGGCCCCGAAGTCACTTAACGAAGTTTACACGCGCGTTCATAACTCTGAGAGCGAGCCGATCGTTAACCGATCGATTCATCGATCATTTATCCAGGCCGCGCGAGGGGGTTCGCGGAGGCCTCTTAAATCGACGCAGAGGCGAATGCAGAAGACTTCTCGCGTAGGAGGCGAGGAGATAAATCTCTATGATCGAGAATGCGGTGTGAATGAGACTTTAAGGAGTCAACGATTCGCGATACGCGTATATATATTATACGGTGCACGACCAGGTAGTACGAGAGTAGCTCGGATGTACTTAAGTATATATCGAGTATCGAACCTGCCCTTGGGGCACGCTACACGGCCGGTCGGGGGAGAAAGAGAAACCGGCAGAAACGGAAAGAACAGACACACAGACACGGGAGAGAACAGAGAAGAAAACGATTGAGATTGAATTATGGCTCGCGGCTTAAACGCCGGATTCAAATCGATCCCATATATCACATTACCTGGCACCTTTATTCTGCTTTCTACAGTCGCGTCTCACCCCCCTCCCCCCTTCCCACGACTATTGTTTTATCCTCGTCCTCTCTCCGTCCCCGTGTTGGTACCGGTGCGTGCAACATTGCACGACATGCACACGATCAGAGCTGCACGCCCACGAGATCGATTTTCGGGGCGATCCATGATCGCACCCCTTCGGGCGATTCCCGATCAATGTTCGCAACGGGGTTCTCGATCCACCGTTTTAACACCGCCACGATCGTGTAATTATTCTTGACGAAGTCACTTTCGCACTTTCGAAAGATATTTTTACGTTTAAGAGAAACATATGCAGATTGCGGCAGAGTCGAGCGAAACAGCAGAGTTGAAATACACAAAGAGGACCATGTATGTAACAGTTACCACGGCAGGGCTAAGATATGAACGACGACGAGAATATATTTAGTCCTGGGGAGGCAGAGTGCTTACGTACTCCGAGGCGGTTATATAGTAAAGAGTGCACTTGAAGAGGGACGTAACACTAGTAGATAATGACTTTTGCACTTTGAGTATCGTTTACCAATTGATATCATCGCGAAAGTATCTTATAACCAGTTAGCTGTGTTCGACGAGTATACTCGTCATGGAGAAGTGACAGTATTTTGTGCCACGACGAGTATACTCGTCGTATGTGAAAAGTAGCGATCACTGGCTATTTAAATTGTAATTTTAGTAGAAACAAAAACATATATTCTCGAGTTTCAAGATGTTCAGAATATTTTGAGGCCAATCCTCTGCACGAAGGTGTTTACATTGTTATAAAAATAAGATTAGAAAAGTATCACGATAACGATGTTCGACGTGCAAAGTGTCATCGTTCTTTGTCATGCTGGAT